GTGGGAGGGTTAAATAATAGCAGTGAAAGTAAGGGAAAGAGAGGAATGCTTGGGGAAACTTGGAAAGCTTTCCTTTGCTTCTTCCAGATCAAGAACATTTGTAGTTTCCAGACAGACCCTTAAGACCTTATGACCTAGTTCTTGTTGATTCCTCCTTTTTCCTGTCATTTGTCTCTTTATTTGTAAAGTCAAAAGAATACCAGTACATACTATATGAAATAGTTAAAAATTAAATAAGTTAATACAAAAGCACTTAACCTCAACAGTGTTAGTTTTTTTTTTTTTTTTTTTTTTTTTTTTCAATAAGCAGTCAAAATTATATTTGAACTAATGAAATTGTCACACTGTTCCTGGAAGATAGAGTCCCAAGTAATAATAAAACAACAAAACTAACACTGTTGAGGTTAAGTGCTTTTGTATTAACTTATTTAATTTTTAACTATTTCATATAGTATGTACTGGTATTCTTTTGACTTTACAAATAAAGAGACAAATGACAGGAAAAAGGAGGAATCAACAAGAACTAGGTCATAAGGTCTTAAGGGTCTGTCTGGAAACTACAAATGTTCTTGATCTGGAAGAAGCAAAGGAAAGCTTTCCAAGTTTCCCCAAGCATTCCTCTCTTTCCCTTACTTTCACTGCTATTATTTAACCCTCCCACAGTTTAGAAAGATACACATTTGATCAGCCTTAATTTCTTCTCTCGAATTCTGTCCGCCTTTCTGTACTAACTCAGCCGGGATGCAGGCTTACGTGGCCATTGAGAACTGCGCGAAGAGAACGAGACGCCCGAAGACGCTGACCTTGGCGCAGAGGCGGCACATGAAGCGGTGGGAATACTTCATCGCCGCGGAGGAAGTCATCTGGGACTACGCGCCTGTCATACCAGCGAACATGGACAAGTGAGTTTGGGGGTTCTGACCACTGTGCAAAGGTTCAAGGGACGTTCCCTGGGGTCCTAGATGCGTGGGCAAAATGCCGTGCCATCAAGGCGATACACGCTCTGGATTCTGTTCAGGTCTTGTTCAAAATCAACCTGGAATTATGCCAAGGAAAATAATAATAATAACAGTAACAACAGCTGCCACTTGTCGAATGTGTTAAATCCTTTCCAAGGGCTTCACTTTAACTCTAGAAGTGAGAAACAGCACTTGTTTATTATGTAGATTAGGAAATAGGTCAGAGGTATTAAGAAATCTGGAAATTCAATAGCTCTGAAACATCTGAAAAATATTCAAGCTCCCACAATGACAGAAATGCAAATTAAACTTCTCTGAAATACATTTTTCACCCATCGGACTCACAGTCCAGGTGACATAACCCCTTGCAAGGCTGTGAGGATAAACACTATCATATTGCCGGTGGAAGAGGAACCTGGAAGAGCATTTGGGAGGATATTTTGACATTTTGTGTCAAAATGATAAATGCCTGGACCCTCTGACCTGGCAATCTCACCCTGGGAATTTACTATAGTGATATTCCTGTGCACAGGAAAATGATGGACATACAGGATAATCACTGCTACCCTGTTAGTAGTAGCAAAAGATTGGAAACAAAACCCAAAACATCCATCAATAAGAAGCTGGTTTAATAAATTATGCTATATCCATACATGGGATACCATGCCTCTGTTTTAAAAGGGTACAAACATGCTCTATGTACTAATATAAAAAGTCCTCCACTGTTAAGTTAAAGTCAAGGGAGCAAGATGGCAGAATAGGAGCCCCCCGCCCAGCTCTCCCACAGCAACAATAATTTGGCAGCCATCCACACACAAAAGCGCCTTTGTGAGAGCTTTGGAGTCCAGGTAGAAGCTTGCCAAATCCCAGTGAAAGTCAAGACCAAGGAGGCTGATTAAAGAAGGCGAGTCAGTGCTCAGGTGGTACGTCTGCTGATTGTGGTCCAGGTACAAGCCTAGAAACAACCTCATCCTCTTATGGACTCAGCTGCAGCCCCTCTGGGCCTTGGTCCTTCTACAACACCATTTGACAAGGGACTCGGGAGGAGTCACACCTGTCCATGACCCTGGAGGCTGGCCTGTAGACCTTGGTCCCACTGCAGGTCTTAAGGTGGCTCTGTAACTCAGCTCCAGCCCTGCCAACCGCAGTCCAGGAGCAGTCCGGCCTACGCGGGGACGGGATGGAAGCCCCCCAAGGACCAGATGGAAGCCACACCCATCTACACACCTGGTAATGGCCCACCATTTGCGAACCCTACTGAGGACCTCAAAGTGGACCGTTATTCCAGCACCAGCTCTACTGACCAAGGTCCTGGAGGCAGTGCCATCTGCCAGGGACCAGACAGGACCCAGACTCCACTGAGCCCTTGGCAAAGGCTTGCCCAGCAGCCGCCATGTGACCTGATTCCAGCCTCACTCAGCTGTGATCCCAAGAGCAGTCCCATCAGTCAGGGGACCCGTCTGTCGGGACACGGTCTTTGCCAGATCAGTCTGTGAAGGCTGGGAGAGGGCGTTTGCTGCAAGAGACACCAACACGAAGCTACGCAAACCACAGAGAATGAGGCAACTATGACCCCGCTAAAGGAAACTCACACAGCTTCAGTAACCAGCTTCAAAGAACGAGAGGTCCACGAATTGCCTGACAGGTAATTTAGAATACCCATCTTAACAAACCCCAGCGCAGAGCAAGAGAACACAGACAGGCCGCTAAACAAAACCAGGAAAACAACGCATGAACAGAACGAGACGTTTAAGAACAAATAGAAACCGTAAGAATAACCAGACAGGAGTCTCGGAGCCGAGGAATGGAAAAACCAGTGAGGGCTTCAATACCGGACGCGGCCCCGCGGGAGGAAGATCCGGCAGGCTCAGAGGCAGGCGATTCGGAACGACCCAGCTACGGGAGCGAGGGGGAAACGGGGGAGAAGCATGAGGAACGCTGTGGGAGCTGCGGGGTGCCACCGGCGGAGCCAGGCGCCCGCTGGGAGAGTCTGAAGGAAACGGGGAGAACGGGACAGGAAGCTTCTTTAAAAGCAGTGGCTGAAAACTCCCGCAGTCTTGGGGAGGACCTGGAGAGGCAGGGCCGTGAAGCCCCGAAACAAGACCAACCCAAAGATGACCACCCGAAGACACATCGTAATCAAATCGTCAAAAGTCAAGGGCAGAGAGAGGATTTCGAAAGCAATAAGAAAAACAACTTGTCATAGATAGAGGAACCCCTAAGGCTATTAGCAGATTTCCTAGAAGAAACCTCATAGGCTAGGAGAGCGTGAGATGATATATATTCACAGTGCTGAAAGAAAAGAAAATTGGCAACCAAAATACGATACTATACTCAGGAAAGCTGTCCTTAAGAGGTGGGGAGATAGAGGCATTCCCCCAGACAGAGGAAAGCCGAGGAGTTCAACTTCACTAGACAGGCCTCGCAAGAAATGCTAAAGAGTTCTTCAAGTTGACAGAAAAGGATGCGAAGTGATAAGTTAAACCATCTGAGACCTAATACAGTGCGGTGACTAGAGTTACTAATACTGTATTGTCTTGACATTTGTTAAGACAGCAGATCTTAACTTTTCTCACCACACACACACACACACACACACACACACACACAAGAAAATAGTAAGTAGGTGAGGTGGTGCAAGTGTTAACTTGATTGTGGTAATAACTTATATATCATTAGGTTGTAGACCTCAAATATATACAATTNGTGTTAACTTGATTGTGGTAATAACTTATATATCATTAGGTTGTAGGCCTCAAATATATACAATTTTTATTTGTCAGTTATATCTCAGTGAAGCTGAAAAATGCAAAAGTCAAGGTGTAGCACAGAGGGTAAAAATTGCTGTCCTTTGTTAAAGGAGTAGAGAGGATAAGAATATTTATATTTTCAAGCTATATTCACATAAATTTACACACAGATTATCTGGAATTATACACGTGAAGTTAATATAAGTAGATACTTAGAAAATGCAAGGAGATCCCGGCCGGGTGTGGCTCAGCGGTTGAGCGTCGACCTAGGATCCAGGCGATGGGGGTTCGATTCCTGGTCAGGGCACATGCCCAGTTGCAGGCTTGATCAATAACTCTCTCATCATTGATGTTTCTATCTCTCTCTCCCTCTCCTTTCCTGTCTCTGAAATCAATAAAGATATATTTAAAAAAAAAAAAAATGCAAGGAGAGTTAGAGAGGTGGGGTTGAGAGAATATAGTATGTGAGTGAGAGTTTTCACTAATCAAAATCGTTTGGATGTATTTACTACTCAAAAAATCAAAACAGAGGGGACATCTGTAATACATTCAACAGTTAAGATAAAAGCTTTTTTAAAAATCAAAAAAGGAATTGATCAACATTATATAGTAACTGAAAGAACTGAGATAGGAATCCAGGACTCTCTGGCAACGCTCGGTGCTGTTTATTATGCAAAATAAATGCATTAAATGGATAAATTCTCTCACGGAGCTTCGGCTTTTGCAAACTAAGGTAGTAAAGAGGACGGGGAGCAAAGTGGTGTCATTGCTGCTTCCACACCACTTATCGCAGTACCGCAGGTGGTGGCTGCTTTCAGTGGGCACCAGGCTGAGTGGGCGGCACAGAACCATGTAAAGACAGAAACTTCCTGGAGTGAGGAAATACCTTCAGAGACTGAGAAATACCTGGAAAGCCAATAAGGGTGCCATCAACGAAGTGATAGGAAAGACTTAAGAAAAACCTGTCACCTGTCCTATCCTTTCGTCCCGGTGGGCCTTTCCCCAGAGGCATCTAAGGTCTGCTCCAGCAACCAGAGGGGCAGGGAGATCGCAGTAGCTGCCTTTAACCAAGACTATGACTTCATCAGACAGACCAGAGGGCTCCGGCTTTCCAACTAGAGGGAAGATATCAGGACTTCGCAAATCATATTAAGAGTTGTTTTTCTTTATAAATCTAGATTTTTAGCTAACCTAAGAGCAGAACTTTTAAGCAGAAGGGTTACCCCATCCTACCAGGGTCTCTATTTGAGAATATGGTTAATTTTTTGAATATTTCATTTCATTTTAAGAAAATACAGATCTCTGCACTTGGATAATTTCTCCAACCAAATTGGAAAAAATTATAAGAAGGTTGTGTACAGACAATACCAAGATGAGTCCTTCACCAAACGCCTGGAGGAGTCCGATAGCCAACAAAACGGGATCTTGGGCCCTATTATCAGAGCCCAGGTCAGGGACACGCTCAAAGTAAGTAACAGAAATGCAGGACCATGTGAAAGAAATGAAACAGCAAAGGACATTATAAGTACTGGTTGTTTATTTTTATTTTAAAATGTATCCATATGATTTTTAATTCAAGCGCAACACTTGGTTTTTATTTAGTATTGGCCCTTATTTATAACCTACCTCATAAGACAAAGAATGTGAGACAGTTTATCAAATTATAAAGGAATAAAATAAAGAGTCAATGTAATTGGGGTGAAAAATATTGGGGACAAAGAAAAGGCAACCAAGAATAAGGAAAGTATAATGAAGCACCCACCATATGATCTTATAAGGTTGTTTGCAAATTTTGTCCTGAGCTTTCTAGCAGCCAAAGTAAAAAGGGAAACATGTCAGGGCAAGATTCACAGTAGTCATAAAAGAAGCACCGAGCTCTGAGAAGAATTTCTCCCATGAATCCTTGAAAAGAGGGTGCTGTGAGATGCGGTGGATGGATTGCTTGGTAAAATCCGTACAATTGGTACAATAAATAAAAAAGTTGTAGGGCCTTTTAAAAATGTTTCTCGTTAGAGCTGAGAATATCACAGGAAAACCCACCGAGGAAAAACGGTCCTCACTGTGGCCGTGGTGTGCGGCTCTCTGAGACTGGTCTCTGATGGGTTAGACGCAGATATGCCTCGGAGCACAGGGTGCTGCTCAGGCAGGTTTCCTCTGAGGTTATGTCACATCGCCAAGCCGGGAGGCAGCGAGCTGAAGGCTGCAGTCTTTGGCAGATACTCTACAGCTGCAGGATGGCCCCCAGGCTTTGGCAACCAAGCAAGTAAAAGACGCGGTTAACGCCCTGGCTGGTTTGGCTCAGTGGTTAGAGCGTCAGCCTGCAGACTGAAGGGCCCCAGGTTCAGACCAGCCAAGGGCACCGACCTTGGTTGCAGGATCGATCCCCGGCCCCAGGTTGGGGTGTGTGCGGGAGGCAACCAATCGATAGACACATCGATGTTTCTCTCTCTCTCCCCCTTCCGCTGTCTCCGAAAAACAATGGAAAAAATATCTTTGGGTGAAGATTGGAAAAAAAAATATATATATATATATATGTGTGTGTGTGTGTGTGTGTGTATATATACACACATATATATATATGATAAAGGTTCCNAAAAAAAAAAAAATATATATATATATATGTGTGTGTGTGTGTGTGTGTGTGTATATACACACATATATATATATGATAAAGGTTCCCTTTTAAAGATTAAGGAGTCTAACCAGGACTCCTGCATGGATAATGCTCCTCCCTTCAGCTGCATGGGGCTGAGCTAAGGGCATCAGCAGACGAGGCCAATTCTGTTCATTTGAAAATAACCAAAGGACCAGAAGCAGCCTCTCTCTGGCCCTCCTTGCCCCCCATCCCTGATGCCTTTGAGGTGTCCTTAGCGAGCGTACATACACCTCGCTGGAGGACCTGGCTCTTAGCCATGCCCCTCGGGAAGTCGCTTCAAGGACAGTGGTCCCGGGAGACCTGGGAGACCTGCCGGGGGAGAGGGGCTCACGGGCCAGATCCCAAGGCAGGTGCGGTCTAAGGGGAAAGGAGAAGGGAAGCGAGACGGGCGCCAGCCTGGAGGGGGTGGCATGCTGTGGGGAAAATGCCCCTTCTAAGGCCAGACTGCTCTGTGAGGTGACACACGCAAAAGCTTCTGTCAGGTGACGGCAGAGATTGCTGCTCAGATAAACAGAACTAGTTTGCACGCGCGCGTACACACACACACACACACCCATCCAACAAGAGAACGTGCAAAGTTAACACCCGACATTAATTCTCACCATGAACCTTAAATCCCGAGTAATGAATCTGAGTTGACTTTGCAGATCGTGTTCAAAAACATGGCGAGCCGCGTCTACAGCATTTACCCCCACGGAGTGACCTTCTCTCCGCTCAAAGATGAAGTCAACTCCTCCTCCTCCGGTGCGAACCCTCCTCGTCCCCGGACGACTCCACTGGCCTCTGAGAAGCTAGCGTATTTTCCTACCGTCCCCTCGCTCAGTAGTATAGCTTGTGCGGTCAGGTAGCACATATACAGGGGCGGGCATCCTAAAAGCCACAAGGAAACCCTGCTCGCCTCCGGGGTTTTCTTTACCCTGCTGGTCACCAAGTACTGTGTCCCTCGTCAGTGCCATTGCGGCCTCTAGGGGAGCAAGATCTGATGACCACGTGCTACCCAGGGCTCTACTAATATAGGAAGAATATTCCTTTCCCAATATTAATTGCTTACAATGAGAGCTCCTTTTTATTATGCATGCATTCATTCATTCGTTCGTTCATTCATCTATTTATTTTCGTGAAATAATTTTGAAAATGAAAACAAGTCTGACTGTATTTTCTTTCAGGCAGTAACACCATGATCAGAGCCGTTCAGCCAGGGGAAACCTACACTTATAAGTGGAATATCCTAGAGTCTGACGAGCCCACAGAAAATGATGCCCAGTGCTTAACAAGACCATACTACAGTGATGTGGACGTCGTAAGGGACATTGCCTCTGGGCTGATAGGGCTACTTCTAATTTGTAAGAGCAGATCCCTGGATAAGCGAGGCATACAGGTATTTTGTCTTTGACGTAATCTTTCAGAAATTCCAGGAATCTCTTCTGGCTGGAACAGACTAGGTCTCCTTGCTAAGTAATGGAGCTTTTCTAGAGAAGAGAAACTGTGAAGTCATCCTCTTGAGTGGGAATGTGATGACATTTACCCCTTTTGCTAACTTTTTTCTCTTGTCTGTTTTCATCTGGACTCACTGCAGAGGGCAAGTCTACAGTGTGAAGCTATATTTTGTTCTGGTTGCAAAGTCCGGGTCTGTTTAAAATGTCTATGTGCTGAGCAAGTCACTCAGCCTCTCTTAATTCTTCCTTGTATGAAATGGGTAATACACCCCCCAAAACTACAGGGTTGTTCAGGGTTCAGTGAGATGGCACCTGGTAAGAGTGCAAAGCTCTGTGCCAACCCTTGTTATTTTTAGAGATCTGCACTAGAAAGAGATGAGAGAGATGCACTGAAGACACAGCTTCTGGAGAGGCTGGACCTCGACTATGGTCCATGTCCAGTGAGACTAAATTATGCAAAGATAGGAGTCTTCTGACTTGATCTCCACTGCAGAAGAGCCTCATATGATTAACTTAAAATTCACAGACAATTGGCCTAAGCTATAATAAAAATAGGTCTCATCTCAAGGCATTCAAAATAAATATATTCCTAGGAAAATCAGAAACGAGCATTAGGAAGACCCTAATGTATTGAACTTGGAAAGGAAATGGGTAGGGGGAGGCACAAAACTTTCCTACTGCAACCTCCTGGTTTAGCCTTTGCAATTGTTAGGAGCACATCCGGTCAGTCGGTCCGCCTGCCTGATAGGTGTTCAATCAGCGATAAACAGAATTACAGCTGCCATGATGAAAGGAATCTTTCCATTAGGATATTTTAGTCTCTGAGTTTTCTGATCTGCTCCGTTTGCTTTGGCGTAACACCTTTGGCTCTAACGAGGGCTTTTACACAGTGGGCCCTCACAAAGGCCTACCTGGGTGGCTCCAGTGGCCCAAGGACTGTGCCCCTCTGGTTCCTGAAGGGGTAGGTAATTGGCTGTTTCCCGGCAGAGGGCAGCAGACATCGAGCAGCAGGCTGTGTTTGCTGTGTTTGATGAGAACAAGAGCTGGTACATTGAGGACAACATCAACAAGTTTTGTGAAAACCCTGAGAAGGTGAACCGCGACGACCCCAAGTTTTACGAGTCAAACATCATGAGCAGTAAGTTGGAGCGGGGTCTTTGTCCGTCAGCTTCTCACTCCTGCGGTTGAAACGTGGCTATGCCGAGAGGCAGACGTGGGTGAGAGCCGACACACATCTCAGCCTCCCCTTCATCTGGGGATTTGGTGATGAAATTACGTAAAACAGTAACATCATAGCAACCTTGTTACAGCCAGAGGTCAAAAGCATGTTGTGTGTGTGTGTGTGTGTGTGTGTGTGTGTGTGTGTGTGTGCCCGGGCACATGCTCTGGGCAGGAAAGAACAGGTGAGGGGAGGGGGTGGTGAAGGAAGCGGCTAAAGGCCTTGGTCAGTGGCACCTGGGGTATAAAATAGACAGACTGAGTGCGAGGTGAATACTCTGTGGCCAGGGCGGAAGCAAGGTAAGTAATTCAAAACTGGATTTTCAAATCACACTAAGAAGGTTAGTGTGTGTGGAGCAGCAGTTAAGCAGAGTCATTCTGTGAAGAGGTTTGAAATGCACAGTAAGAGGCTCAGAAGGGTAGGTGTTCCCTGAGCCACAGCTCGGGCATTTGCTGCAGTTTTAAGCTCAGAGTCACTGCTGCGGGAAGCCTAGGTTTGGTCTTGTAGTCACATGTCAGACCTGGTAAAGTGTATCTCAGATAAGCACTGCTTTAATGCAACTAAATGAACCTGGGACATGTGTTTGAGGTGTTACCCACGTGCCCTCTTGCTGGCATAGGCCTGGCACTCTAACCAATTGACTCTTTCAGCCATCAATGGCTACGTGCCCGAGAGCATATCCACACTAGGATTCTGCTTTGATGACACCATCCAGTGGCACTTCTGCAGTGTGGGAACCCAGGATGACATTTTGACCATTCACTTCACTGGGCACTCCTTCATCTATGGCAAGAGGCATGAGGACACGCTGACCCTCTTTCCTATGCGTGGGGAATCTGTGACCGTCACAATGGATAACGTTGGTAAGTGCCTGGTGNGCCCTCTTGCTGGCATAGGCCTGGCACTCTAACCAATTGACTCTTTCAGCCATCAATGGCTACGTGCCCGAGAGCATATCCACACTAGGATTCTGCTTTGATGACACCATCCAGTGGCACTTCTGCAGTGTGGGAACCCAGGATGACATTTTGACCATTCACTTCACTGGGCACTCCTTCATCTATGGCAAGAGGCATGAGGACACGCTGACCCTCTTTCCTATGCGTGGGGAATCTGTGACCGTCACAATGGATAACGTTGGTAAGTGCCTGGGCGGCGGGGGGAGAGGACTCCTGGTAGCTGCAGGTCTGCTGTACTCTCCAGACTCCCAGCTCCTGCTCAGCTCTTTGATCCCTTGCAGGCGTCCCTCTCAATACTTGTCATGATTTCCATTTGGGGAATTAATGACTTCAGTGGGGCCAGCCCTTTTCTGTAAGTGAGAAGTAAGACACACATGCACAGAAAGATGAGGCATGACTTTGAGGAGGAAGCATGAGCATTCAGTCATAAAAAAAATCTCTTTTATCAAAATGCCCTTTTCAGTTTTTTAAGACAGCCATCCCACACTCGGGTTAGTGATGATCAGATACAGTGCCTTAGAGGCGAGGCTGGCCTCAGACACAGCATGTGTCCTGGAAAGCACGTGGACTTTGGAGTGCATCAGACCTGGGTTCAAATCTTGCCTTTCCACTCAGTACCTGTGCAACCTTGGGCAATTGACTTGCTCTCACTGAGGCTGTTTATTCATCTAAAAAACAACAACCACCACACACACAAAACAGAATAACAGGAGCTTACAAAGTTGCTTTGATCATTAATTATAATGTGTGCCAAGTATCCAGCACTCAGTAGATGCTCAACAAGTGGCAACTATTGGACACTTCGCAGGAAATCTTCAGTATGACAGCAAATCATACCATTTCAAAGAGCTTGAAAATGGCCCTGGGCCCATGTGAATTACTGGTCACTTGGAAATGCCTAGATGTCTCTTATTTCTGTGGTAGACATCACTACCCTCCCCAACTACAATGCTCAACCAAGACCTGCAGCTACCAAGATGGATGTGATTTTCAAAATTCATTTTATTCTCAATTCATCCCCTTTAAAACATATTCCGAAACAGTGAATCTCAAACACTCTGCGCTAAGAGTTTGTTTCTCCCCACTCTTCCCCGACCAATCTTTTTGGTCTACATTCTGTTAAACAGGGTAAGTGCATTGATCTCATGCTTGGATGTCACAACAGTGTCAAATTGCTCAAAAGTGTCCTAAGTACTTGACTCTCCCTTTTCCTCCCTATGCCGCTGTGGAACCATAATCAACAGTTTGCCGGGCAGCAGTGGTCCGCAGGCCACCCTTGAGTGCCCTTGACCGAAGCTTGCTGGAAACTATCTGCCACAATGGATGCTGGGCTTTTATTTCTTTTTCTGGACTGAAAGCTCTCTATTCTGTCTCTCTCTCTTCTCTAGGAACTTGGATGTTAACTACCATGAATTCTAATCCAAGAAGCAAAAACCTACAGCTGAGATTCAGGGATGTTAAATGTACCCCGACTGATGAAGAAAACGACTATGAAATCTATGAATTTCCAGAATCTACACCCATGATGACTACGCGGAAAATGCGCAATTCTTCGGAAAAACAAAGTGAAAGGAATAATGGCGACGTTGATTACCATGACGAGCTGGCTTCATCCCTGGGATTCAGGTCATTCAGAAATTCATCACCGAATCGCGAGGGAGAAGAGTTCAACCTTACCGCCCTCGCCCTGGAGAACAGCTCTGAATTCATTCCTCCAAGTCCTGATGCCTCTGTCCCTTCAGATTCTCCTTTTGCAAGCAGCGTTAGCAGGCTCATTTCCAGTACCTCTGCAGAACCTCACAAAACCCTCCCTCACCCTGAAACCACTGCAGCTGGTCCCCGTGCGGGACACAGCTTAGAAAAGAACTCACTTCTCAACTCTTCCACAGTAGAGCGCTCCAGCCCTTCCGAAGGCCCTGCAGAGGGCCCTCTGCAGTCAAATGTCACACTTCCACTGGGTGCAGGAGTCAGAAGTCAAGAACACACTAAACATAAGGGATTCGAGGCAGGGAGCGACCGAGAGGCAAGGCACAGGTTCCCCCAGATGGAATTTCTAGAACATAAAATTGGGAGACATTCAAGCCGAGACAACTCTTCTTCCAGAATGGGGCCCTGGAAGGACCTTCCCAGTGATCTGTTACTCTTAGAACAGAAGAATCCGTCTAGGATTTTGAATGGGAAATGGCACTTGGCTTCTGAAAAAGGTAGTTATAAAATAATCCCAGAGGCTGATAAGGTGATGGCGGTTAATAAGCTGCTGGGCAGCCCCTGGAATGCCTCAAGGACGTGGGGAGAAGGCATCCTTCTTACAAACAAGCGTGGAAAGCAAGAGGGCCACCCACAGCTTTCTGGAATTAGACATAGGTTTCTACCAGTAAGAAAGGATGGAGGAAGGAGTGGACGGAAGAATGGCACTGTTCTCATTCGGACACGAAGAAAGAAGCTTGCACACCACGTCCCTCTCTCTCCAAGGAGTTTCCACCCTCCCAGAAGGGAGGCCAGCATCCCACTTTCAGACTCGCTCCCCAAGGCCAGGGAAGCATCTCTTCCCACAGACCTCAATCAGACATCCCCCCCTGTGAATCTTAGCCTGATAGCCTCACTTCCTGACCATAATCAGAACCCCCCAAACAACACTGGTCAGACAAGCTTCTCTCCAGATGTTTATCAGACAACGGCCCCGGAAGAGCTCTATCAAACGTCCCCTATTCCAGACTCTGATCAAATGCACTTCACTACAGACCCCAGTCACAAAGCTTCTCCAGACCCTGGCCAGATGCTTGACAGTGATCTAAGAAGCCAGTCCTTCCCTACTGACATTGGACAAATGTTCCTTTCTGTAGAACTTGAAGCCTGGCAGACAACCATCTCTCCAGATCTCAGTCAACCATCCCTGTCTCCAGAACTTAGTCAGACAAACCTTTCCCCAAACCTCAGCCAGGAGATTCCTTCTCCAGACTTCAGCCAGCCAACCCTTTCCCCTGACCTCAGACAGACAACCCTTTCTCCTGATCTTGGTCAGATGACCCTTTCTCCAGACCTCAGCCAGGCAACTCTCTCTCCAGACGTCAGCCAGGTAACTCTCTCTCCAGATCTCAGCCAGGAGACTGTCTCTCCAGACTTCAGCCAAGAGATTCTCTCTCCAGACCTCAGCCAGACGACCCTTTCTCCAGACCTCAGCCAGGAGACTGTCTCTCCAGACCTCAGCCAAGAGATTCTCTCTCCAGACCTCAGCCAGACGACCCTTTCTCCAGACCTCAGCCAGGAGACTGTCTCTCCAGACTTCAGCCAAGAGATTCTCTCTCCAGACCTCAGCCAGACGACCCTTTCTCCAGACCTCAGCCAGGAGACTGTCTCTCCAGACCTCAGCCAAGAGATTCTCTCTCCAGACCTCAGCCAGACGACCCTTTCTCCAGACCTCAGCCAGGAGACTGTCTCTCCAGACTTCAGCCAAGAGATTCTCTCTCCAGACCTCAGCCAGACGACCCTTTCTCCAGACCTCAGCCAGGAGACTGTCTCTCCAGACCTCAGCCAAGAGATTCTCTCTCCAGACCTCAGCCAGACGACCCTTTCTCCAGACCTCAGCCAGGAGACTGTCTCTCCAGACTTCAGCCAAGAGATTCTCTCTCCAGACCTCAGCCAGGCGACCCTTTCTCCAGACCTCAGCCAGGAGACTGTCTCTCCAGACCTCAGCCAAGAGATTCTCTCTCCAGACCTCAGCCAGACGACCCTTTCTCCAGACCTCAGCCAGGAGACTGTCTCTCCAGACTTCAGCCAAGAGATTCTCTCTCCAGACCTCAGCCAGACGACCTTTTCTCCAGACCTCAGCCAGGAGACTGTCTCTCCAGACTTCAGCCAAGAGATTCTCTCTCCAGACCTCAGCCAGACGACCCTTTCTCCAGACCTCAGCCAGGAGACTGTCTCTCCAGACTTCAGCCAAGAGATTCTCTCTCCAGACCTCAGCCAGGAGACTGTCTCTCCAGACCTCAGCCAGGTAACTCTCTCTCCAGACTTCAGCCAAGAGACTCTCTCTCCAGACCTCACTCAGACAGCCCTTCCTCCTGATCCCAGGCAGACATCACCTCCTCCGGACCTCGATCCAGCGTCCTACACTTCTGAGTCTAGCCAGTCACAGCCTCTTCCAGAATCTGATCAGGCTTTCCCTTATTCAGACCTTGGTCAGATGCCATCTCCACAACCATCTCCACTAAATAACACTTTTATAACAAGCAAGTTTAACTCAACAGTTATACTTGGCTTCAGAGGAGAAGATGGAGATTACGTTGAGTTTATACCGATGGGGAAGGAAGAGAGCAGCGAAGAAAACTCCCGTGAGATTGATCTCATGTTCTATGATAACCCCTACCAAACTGACGTCTGGACGGACACCAACTCCTCCAGGAACCCTGACTACATCGCCTCCTCGTACCTCCGCAGCAGCAATGGAAACAGGAAACATTATTACATTGCTGCTGAAGAAATATCCTGGGACTATTCAAAATATGCCCAAAGGTTTGGCCAGTTTTCTCCTCTCATGTTCTCATTTCTCCACCACTGCTAGAAAAGTAATTACAACAGTCCAAGGAGAGAACTCTGGGCAAACTAGTTAAGTATAATTTAGTTCCCCTGCTGCAAGTTGGCTTATACTATGTGCCAGGTAACCTGCTAGGCACTGGAAGGAAGCTGTGAGCTAACTGGGCACAATCCCTACCTCATGAGGCTTTTACTCTAGTGGCAGAATCAGAGATTAATAGATAATCACACAAACAAGTGATACAGAGTTTACTATATATATATATATACTATAGAAATACTATAAGAATACTACAGGATTTTACTACATATACTATAGTAATACTATAGAAATGTAGGAATGCTATAAAGACATTTAACTTGGTCTAAAGGCTCATGGGGGGACTTACCTAAGAGATGATATACGAGCTGGCAGGTGGCTATCTACTGGCCTGTGTTTTTAGTCATTTATATTTTCATTCATTTGCTCATCAAATATGTATTAAATATCTTCTCTATGCTAGATGCTATACTCAGAAACAGAGATCATTTCCTAAATTCTTTGAATGGTCTTTCATTTGTTCTTGTAAACAAATACCGTCATTATCATTTCAGTAAAATGGGTAACGAGGACCCCGATGATGCTCCAGAGCACACCGTATACAAGAAAGTCGTTTTTCGAAAGTACCGTGATAGCACGTTTACCACCCGTGACCCCCGGGGAGAGCATGAAGAGCACCTTGGCATCCTTGGCCCTGTCATTAGAGCTGAGGTGGATGATGTCATCCAAGTAAGTCACTTTCAGAGCCCCGCTAAGGCCTCCAGAGGAACGTCCACAGGCCCCGTGGGGTGGCAAAGGCAGAGGTGGCAGGAGAGCTGCAGGCGAGCTCCTTATTTTCCAGAATTAACAAATACTGACATTTCTTCTCAAAGACAGTTTGCCAAGTATTTGGCAATCTTCGAGAAAAAAATAATAATCTTAATGATTTTATTTCTCCCTCTGCTAAGCTCCCGCTCATTCTCTAAGGGTCCCTTCCATTTCCCCTTAACCTTTCCGAAACGTCAGCCGCGTTGCTCCTCCCGGGCCCTGCCCTCTGACCCCATTTGCACTGGGATACAGCACCTTTGGGCCCCAGATTTTAACTTGAATTCGCATGTGCAGCGTCTCTTCGCCAGCAGGCTGAAAGCTCACTGCGAGCGAGAGCCAAGCCCGGACCTGCCGACCGCGGCCCTCGCGCTGCATCTGTGCGCCAGGCCAGTGCTTTTGCTTTGAGCCCAGGAGCTGCCTGCTTTGGTGTTCCTGGGGAAATGGACTCGGGCCCTGTCTCCCAGGCTGCTTGTAAGACTTCGGTGAAACAACGTGCATGAGTTTCGTGGCAATGGGATTTTTGTTGAGCTTAAGTACCTTGCGGATCATTGTTTTTTCTAGGTTCGTTTTAAGAATTCAGCCTCCAGACCATATTCCCTTCATGTCCATGGGCTTTCCTATGAAAAATCATCAGAGGGAAAGACGTATGAAGATGACTCTCCTGAATGGTTTCAGGAAGACAATGCCGTTCAGCCAAACAGCAGTTACACCTACGTGTGGCACGCCACCAAGAGGTCCGGGCCCGAGAACCCCGGCTCTGCCTGCCGGGCGTGGGCCTACTACTCATCCGTGAACGCGGTAGGCACACCCCTCAAAGCTTTGTCATCCCCTAACCGTATAACCTGGGTCCACTAAGTGGAAGGGTGAAGGTTATTTCTTATTAAGTGTCTGTCTTGCGATCATGAGGAAGGTGTAAGGATTGTGGTCAACGCCCTACAGCTTCCGTGGCCAGGGGCTCTCCCTGCAGACCCACAGGTGACAGTGAGAGGCAGAGGTCTGCTCGGAGGAGGAGTGAGGATGACTGAAATGGGGGCGCACTGAGAGCGACGACCTTTGCAGAGGAGGACGTTTGTTGGCAACGTCCCTGCACGAGTATCAGCTTTCTCGTCCGCTCTCTCCGCGGAAGAACTGCAACGTCAAGGCTCCTCCTTGGGCCTGGTGGAGAGAGCACCGGCCTCTGTTTCAATGCCTACCTTGTCGCTTACTGCGTGGCCCTGGGAAAGTTACTCGACCTCTCTTGGTCATGGTTTCCAAAGTTCAAAATGAGATAACAACAGTACGTAGCACATAGTAGGCACTTGGTCATGTTTGTTTAACAAGTGAATTCTTTTTGCCATCTAGGATTGTTGTCGGAATTATATAAGGGGCCATAGGCAAAATATTTAATATAGTAGTAAGTGCTCAATAAATAGCATTTGTTATAGTATCAATATTATCATGATCATTAGCATTGCTACCCTGTCAAGATAAATGATTAATCAAAGCAAGGGGATATGAACACCGTAGAAGCAGATGAATAATATTGAGCCTTATGAAGCTACTCATTATATTCCTCGAAGTCAGAGTCTCTGAGAAGGGCTCCTTTTCTGTGTGGTCAGTGATCGCCAGAAGCGCAGAGGAAACGCTGAGAAAGGGTATGTGCCACTTCCTCCCGCTGTCTTCCAGGAAAGAGACATCCACTCGGGCTTGATAGGGCCCCTTCTGATCTGCCGGAAAGGAACGCTTCACAAGGAGAGCAGCATGCCCGTGGACATGAGAGAATTTGTCTTCCTTTTCATGGTCTTTGATGAAAAGAAGAGCTGGTACTATGACAAGAAACCCCAGAGTTCTTGGAGACACGTGTCCACAGAAGTAAAACATTCCCACGAGTTTCATGGTATTTTCCTCTGACTTTGATCTAATCTCTGAACTCAACCACGCTGGGTGACAGTGACACCTGCCCTTAGGTCTCCACAAGATTAGGCAGGAGATGCTTCTGAGGAACCAGGAACTACCACTAAGACTAGGTCCCTACACATCTCAGAGGGCTGATGGAACCCGGCAGGTGACACTCCAGGCGAAGGAAAGGCGAGAAAGTCTGAAAGACAGACCCGGAGTCTGCTGTGAAACAAACCCAAACCAACAACAACAACAAAAAGCAGTGTGCTTCAGCTGATCACAAATTGAAAAGGAATTAGCATTATTCTGCAATTAAGTACTTGATAAATCTGTTTCTTGACCTTTAATGGAATATAGAAGGAGTTGCCCCCGTGAACTTTCTACAATAAGAGTGGCTGGAACCGTCCTAGCATTTGGCAGTTCCCAGGTGGCACCAGACACTCATGAATAAAATAGGTAGGCTAATGACCTCCACCCCTCTCCAGCAAGCCACTGGCTTGGTTCCTGGAGGCCCACACCAGTACCTGTAACTTTAGGAGAGTAAACAACAGCAACAGAACTTCCCTCACTTTAGTCCCAGTTAAGTCACTGTAGCAGGACTAAGCTTTATTATTGAAATGTAGTATTATTTTTTAAGGTGGGCAAATTTACCAGGTGCTTCACACACACACACACACACACACACACACACACTCTTCACTGAGCGGAGAGTGGGTAAGTCTCAGAGCCCTAGACATCCACGCTGGGAGGGGGCAGAGCAGCTTTCGAGTGAATGAGAACACCCGTGAATCACTGTGGCTGTGGGTGCAACAAAGGTGAGGTCCAGCCTCCTCACTTTGCCTGGATCTGTCTCTGAATTTAGGCGGCCCTGGGGTGACACGCTGCATACCCCCTTACTTACTGTTTCCTCTAAACACTGGAGTTCCCTTATCTGGCTCCTATCAGTCAAGCACCAAAGGAAAATTCAGACGATAAGCAGCAAGGATACCTGGGTGAAGCACGGAGCAGGACAGTGGAGAATCTGGGGAAGAGACTGATAAAGTGCTGGGGAAGGGGGCTCCTGGACATCATGACACATAGGGGACCCTGGGAGGGCCTGGCTAGCTGGGGGGTAAGGAAGCTGGGTGGCGAGTGAGGCCCTCCTAGGTCCTTACCAGCCTCTCTCCTGGTGTACACAGGTTTTTAATGGATTGTAATTCTCTGGCCTTTCAGCCATCAACGGGATGATCTACAACTTGCCTGGCCTGAGAATGTACGAGCAGGAGTGGGTGAGGCTCCACCTGCTGAACTTGGGCGGCTCCCGAGACATCCACGTGGTTCACTTCCACGGCCAGACCCTGCTGGAAAACGGCACCCAGCAGCACCAGCTCGGCGTCTGGCCCCTGCTTCCCGGTAAAGACCAGGCCACGAAAAGACGCCCGACTGAAAAATGGCGAGAGGAGGCGATCCTGGCCTCTCTAAGCTCCCCCATCCCCTCCTCGGGCATCTGCTTCTAAGGGGTCGGGCATGGGCCCTGGCATAGATCCTGGCAAAGCCATATCCCAGAGCTGCGTACAGAGCACGAAAACGCCAGCTCGCGTGCACACTGTTTGCAGCAGGGCTCTGGCTAAACGCGTGGCCCAGCGTGGTTCTGCTGAGACCGTGCCCAGTGCAGGTCCTGCCCAGCCACTGTGTCACACAGCGGGATTACAGGACGAATCCCGCGGGGCTCAGGAGGCACATGGCGGGGAGACCAGAAATGTACTGGGCTGGGGAGTCTCGATTTCCTGAATTCTACTCACTGTCACCCTGGTGTCTTTGAGTGAGTGACAGGATTCTTGATCTTAAACTGACTCATGAGGCTGTTTGGAGAATAAATTTTTCTTTCTTTTTTTTTAATGATTTTAAAAGCTAAAGAATAACAAGGGTCTTTAGAGCTTTTCATGTGCGAAATAATAAGGTTTAAACAAACTAGTCATCTAAAAAGATTCTTATGTGCCAATGAGTTGTTTGTAGGTAAGTGTGGGGGCTTGGGGGGTGAGGGCTACTCAAACTGTAGTGGGCGTAGTAAAAACGCAGGAAGGCAGCTAAAATGCCGATGCTGACACAGAGATCGGGCTCCCAGAGACTCTGATCCGGGAGATCCAGGGCCCGGGAGTCTGCATTTTTAGCAGGCGGCCCACCTTCCGCGAAAGCTGCCTGAGGAGCTCGGGAGGGAGGCCGCCCCCGACAGGGCTTTGGGTGGGGAATCTGCCGTGGGAGCCGGCCTCCGACGGAAGCACAGACGTGGAAACGCGCCTGCTTTGGTTAAGAGTAAGGAAAAGGAAAGCTCTTGTTTGTTTTAAACTTGCCAGCGACGCACTAGTGAAGCCATAAAGAGTCCATTCCCATCAGGGGCGGGGGTGGGTAAAGGAACTCCTCACCTTCACCACGCAGTGCCAGAGCCGCCGGGGCCCGGGGCCCGGGAGGGGAGCAGCGAGAAGCCGGGCTTCGCTGGCCCAGCTGCATCTTCAGGCCCAAGTATCTGCTTTTGAGAGGGGAAGGCGGGAGATCTTTTTGGTGTTTGAGGGGGATGACCATCAGCTATTCATTTTATTCACAACCTGGGAAATGCTCACAAACTGTAGTCGGCAGAATTAAGTGTTAACTGGCAGCAGGAAATAGTCAACAGGGGCATGGTCGTCAGAGGTTTCAGAAACCCCGTGCTTTCCGTGGCACTCTGAAACAGCTCATGAGTGCCCTGCCCAAGTGTGTAACTATCGAGAATGCGAAACACGGGAGGATGGGATGAAGAGGGGGAAAGGAAACACGGACAGGATTTTTGAGGCCCAGCGATGGGTCACTCAAGGTCGCTTTGATACTAAGGACTGTGAAGAAGCTATGTTATGTGTGGGTTAGCTTGTAACATTTTGTTTAGATAAATGAAAGCTTCTTTCTAGTACAGGATGTTGGAGGTTTTTTTAAGTTCTGGGGCCATTGATTGATTTGTCGTAATGTGGGTGTGTTTGTGTGTGTGTGTGGGGGTGTTCTTTTAATTTGTTTGTTACACTTCTAGTCCTGCCTAGAAATAAACGGATAACTCTTCAGTTCTATTCTAAAGCTTCTTGGGATGCAATGATACTAGGATTCTTTGATATCTGTCCACCAATAGTAACTTGTTAATCTTTGAGTATGTAATGTCATCCTTCACTTTCTATTTTAGGTTCATTTAAAACTCTTGAAATGAAGGCATCTAAACCTGGCTGGTGGCTCCTAGACACAGAGGTTGGAGAAAACCAGAGAGCAGGGATGCAAACGCCATTTCTCATCATAGACAGAGGTATCAGCCAAGAGCCACAAGACACTTTTAGCAGGAGAGTCCTGTTGCTAGCATATTACAAACTTATAGATAGGAGATATTCAACTCAGAACTCTGATATGACAGAAAGAGTCTGTAGCAGGAATTGCCTTCATTCTGGGCATGGTCTGATTATAATGCAAACGTCAGTCATCTAGGAAACTCAAACCAAATGGTTCAGCCCAAAGGCATTCCTTTCAGTTGGGGAACCAACATAAAGCAGCCTCCTTCATGATTTGTGACCCTAGATAAGTGCATGTAAGAAATAATTCTCCAGGCTCCTAGCACAGAGGAGGAAAAAGATAGGAGAGACTCAACAATAACCAAGATAGTCACTGAACTTGGCATCCCAGGATTTGAGAAAAAATTTCAATCTGTCTGTCCAGCCAGCCAGCAGCACTGATTAAGCACCCACTGAGTACAAGCACTGTGTCGACATCCAGATAGCTCACTGGCTGTATTGCCTTAGCTGGTATTCCCTTCCACAATCGGGATGTAAATAACCCTGTACCTTCCAGGTGTACTTAACGTTGTAAAATGGCTTATTTTCAGATATAAGCAGATGGAAATCGGTTTAAAAACTAATTGCTCTTCAGGATTTCAGTTGTTTTCCTCTAGGGTGTCACGATGTCTATTAAAGTACCAGTTTTGTTAGTGCACTTGCCATTTTAGGGCCAGATACATTTAAGTCAGTGCTGTACAAGGTAGGTCACAATATCTAATTACTGACCCACCGCAGGTATAACCTCTAGCCATGGAGTTATACCTGTTAAACGTACTTTCTAAGCAAACATTATTCATCATCCTGTCTTTTTTGTAGAATGTAAGATGCCATTGGGACTAAGCACAGGCATCATCGCTGATACACAGATCAAGGCATCTGAGTTTCTGAGTGAGTAGTAGAATCACAGCCTCAGAGAGGCACCTCCTCTGACTGTTCAGTACACAGCCTGCAAAGCCATGCCTGACAGCTGGGCCTGTTGAATCTATGGGTCATTGCTCCCCTCCAGGCTTTTCTCTATCACAACACAGTAAACCAGCTCTGTGTGGGGTGCTTATCTGGTAAAGGAGCGCTATGGCAGGAGCTAAAGCCTGTTGGCACCCCCTGATCACTGCCACCCCCTCTAGTGTATAATGTTCCCAAAGAGTCTCTCCCAGGAAAGACCAAGAGCTCAGTCTCTCCACATAGGTAGTCTGACCTCTCAGCAGATTGGGCAAGAGGACATAGCTTGCTCTTATGGCCATGTGCCCTTTTCCAAAACTCTTCCCATTCATCCCCATGCTGGGTTTGATCACACATGTGAAATTCCAGCCAGATTCCCCGGGTCTTATCTGCCATGTGTTAGAGTCCCCATTAATAGGACCCTTGCTGTACCAACCACTCATCTATTCAAGAAACTTTACTGATCACCCACTGTGTGCCAGGAACTCCTCCTAATTGTCCTCACTGCTCAGAGCCCTTCCCAAGATCAAGAGGTCAATTGCAAGGGACCATGAGGATCCCATAAACCCCTCCCATGTCTTCCTGGAAGGCAGGCACACTCAGTGGTGACCACATCAACATAACTGAGAAAAGACAAACGTGACCTGTATGCAAGAAAGGGGGTGGGTGGCAGGTGACAGCTGAGCAAGCACAGACCTAAAGCCAAGATTTCATCACCGTGGACTAAGTCAGGAGCTTCAAGAAGCCTGTGCCAACTGCCTGGTCTTCTAACTGCACAAGAAGGTCCTCTGCGGACCTGGTTTTCCACTGGGACTGAACTCACTTGACAAATTGCTAATTGTATGTTTTTTAAAAATTCAGAATAAATTTTTTTCTTCCTTTGGATTTAGATTATTGGGAGCCCAAATTAGCAAGATTAAACAATGGTGGTTCATATAATGCTTGGATGACAGAAAAAACTTCAGACTTTGACTCTAAGCCTTGGATCCAGGTATGACATTACTCTGATAATATTTACTGCTATTGTAATAATAAAAGTGACACTGATTTAATAATTTCTTCTTGTCCTTGCAATGTTGTTAGGGGAAATAGCAATTACTAGGTGCAAGGCAATATTCTAAGTACTTAAAATGAACCCTATGAAGCTGGTTCCAGTAATATCCCATTTTACAGATGAAAAAAACTAAGACATACAGGGGTTAACTAACTTCCCAACATCACGCACAGCTAGTTAGTGGTTGAGCTGGGATTCAAGTCCAGGTCCCCCATGCTCAAATATGAATTGCATTTTATTAGTTTGCTAAGACCTGAGGTGCTGGCTCTTTAGTTCTGACGAAAGCTGGTTGGTTGCTCAATGATTTATGGCAGCATGTGACCTGTTGACAAGGACAGTTCTGTTCAGTGGCTTTGCTGTGTTGCAGGTGGACATGCAAAGGGAAGTCCTGTTCACAGGCATCCAGTCCCAAGGTGCCAAGCACTACCTGAAGTCCTACTACACCACTGAGTTCCGTGTGGCTTACAGCTCCGACCAGACCAATTGGCAGATTTTCAAAGGGAACAGCACCAGGAATGTGATGGTATGTGTGCAGTGTCTTTCTGAGACTCCAGACTCACCCGCTGGTTGCTATGACTAGTCCATGACTCTTTGCTTTTGTAAAAATACTTTACTGGGCATCAGAAATACGAAGGGCTTCTTTAGGGCCCATGGAGGAAAGTGGTAAAATAATGGGTCTGTATATTACAAATTAAAGGGATAAGTATGACTTGTGAAATTTCAAAACTCCACAAAACTTTTTAAAATCACTTTATCATTAAACTAAATATCCAGGCTTTTCAGATTGGCAGATGGTGTAGGGCAGAGTATCGATCGGGCCTTGTGCCTTAAGGAGCTCACACTAAAAATATGCCACCAAGAGTTCTGATTTTACTAATTTTCTATATTCTCATTTTCTATATTACCTATAACTAATTGTCTATATTATCACTTAGCTGTGATAGATCAGGATAGATCAGAAAAATCCTAAATTATGGTTCCTACTGACTGGTATTGGAGAGAGAACACAGCTTAGAGAATTTTACATCTCTATTCACGAGGGATGTCAGTGTGTAGTTTTATTTTTTTGTACTGTCTTCCCTGGTTTTGGTATCAGAGTAACACCAGCTTCACAGGATAAATTGGGAAGCATGCTCTTTTTTTCTATTTTGTGGAGGAGAGTGTCTAGAGTTGGTGTTAATTCTTTAAACATTTGGCAGAATTCACCAGTGAAACCAAGTAGGCCGGGAGATTTCTCTTCCGGAAGTTCTAAAATTGCAAATTCAATGTCTTTAGCAGCTACAGGCTTTTCAAATTACCTGTTTTATATTGGTGAGTTGGGATAGTGTTTTTTTCAATACATTAATCCATTTCCTCTATGTTGTTAAGTTTGTGTCTAGAGTTGCTTGTACTTCCCTTAGCATGCTCCTGATGTCTGTAGGGTCTGTAGTGATACTGTCTGTGTCACGTCTGACACTGGCCGTTTGTGTCTCTTCTCTTTTTGCTTCATTAGTCTTGTTAGAGATTGGCCAGTTTTTAAAATCTTTTCAAAGAACTGGCCTTGTGCCTCATTACTTTGACCTATGTTTTTCCGTTTTCTGTCTTACTCACTTGGTTACTTAGTCTGCTCCTATCTCCTGTTTCAGCCGGACCTCTCTGACGTTGCTCTGGTAGGGCGAGAGGACAGGGCACAGCCTCCTTATTGCCAGGTGGTCGAAGTCCTGGGTGCCTGCCTGAGGGGGGACTACTCCTCTTTGCTGCTGGGTGGGGATGAGGTGCTCGCCATGGACACTGCAAGGGAAGGAGCCTTGTGAGGAGCTGGGCCCCCAGCTGGCCTTCTCTGACACACCCAGTGAGGTTGCTGAGGTGCCTCTCACAGTCTCATGACCATGGAAGTCCAGGCTCCACGCTTGGTCTTTGCTGCTGTTGAGTGGGGAGGGGCCATAGTTGTTTCTATGGAGTTTGGCTTGCAGTAGAACGATTATTGCCTAAAAGTTTTCTGTCTTGCTGGGCTGCCCTTTCTTGGTTCTGAGGCTAGAGAAAGAAGGTTTGTGCTGGGGGGGTGGGGGAAAGGTTGTGTCTGTACCCATTGGTGTTTCCTGGTTGCTGGCCTCTTCTCTTCCAAGGTTGGGATCTATGGGGCAAAAAGAAAACCCAGGGATCCCATGACCATGTTGTTCCTTGGGTCCTAAAATTCTAGCCAGCCTGCCTTTTCTCCACCTTCAGAGTGATCTTCTGGTTTGAGTTGTACTTAACAGGAGGAACAGGGGAAAGTAGATCTATACTATATTCCTAGAGTGGAAGTATCCCCAAATATTTTTTAAGACGATATTGATTTAGTTCTGGCCACATGAAAATGTAACATTACAATATTGGATTAGACCAAAATTTTACTATAAAATCACTTTACAGAGAATTTTTACATAACTAAGCTTTTCTCTTTTCCTCTAGTATTTTGATGGCAACTCAGACACCTCTACAGTCAAAGAAAATCAGTTTGACCCACCAATTGTGGCTAGATACATTAGGATCTACCCAACTGGATTCTATCAAAAACCTGCCCTTCGATTGGAGCTGCAAGGCTGTGAGATTAATGGTAAGGAACCACGAGGCATTATCATCTCGCCGCCCCCCGGGGAATCAAGATGGGGGAGTGTGGGAAAAGGGGAATAAACTTTAGTTCCTTTCAATCAATGGGGAGCAGAGCTTCCACTCAGGTCAACACCCATGGTGACTTAGAAGGACACAGGTCCTACCAGCCAGGGGGCAGGCGCCATCCCTGTGAGCAGCGCCTGGATGATATGACTCCGCCCTGACCCCCAAGGAAGGGCCGCAGCTCAGAATGACCCCCACCAGCCCATTTTCAATAGAACTGAGATTCAAACTAGGCCTGACTCTTCCAAAGCCCTCCAGGTTGCGCAGACTTTAATGTAATAACAGTATCTAACAACATTGCTGTCATGTATTAGAGTTCAGTGAATGGTTTTGAAATCTAAGTCTGCTTCCCAACTTCCTGAAACCTTGACCCTGCTCTGTGTCCTGACTCACACCCTATGTACGCACTCAAGCTTTTTCTATGTTAAGCTGCTATTTTTCAGGGAAAGTAATGTGACCTGTGGCATAAATAGATCCAGGTAACTGTATGTGGCCATAATAAAATTCTACTATATAGAACAAAGATAACAACTATTCTCCTTCTCTGACTCATAAAGTAGTGCTTTCCAAAATTTTCTCACTGCAATGCACATACAGAAAGTAATACCTGGGCTAAAAGAATAAAGTAGCTGACCCAGGGCTTGGCTGATCCAGACACCGCCTGGCTGCTCACAACTAAGGGGAGAGGGAGCCTGATATATAGGCACGCCTGAGACATGGGTGACATACGTGTTGGGAAGCTCCAGCACCTTCTCTCGGGGTGGAGGGAAGGGCCACGGCTCACGGTGGAGAATGCAGCTGAACCTTGGAATCAGCTCTTATCTGAGCAGGTGATGTTACAGGATGCTCCTGCTATCCATGAGGGGTGCAGACATGGGCATTTTGCCAATGCCCAGATAGCAGTGCTCTGAAACATCTCCCCATTAAATGCAACTTTCCCACAGGCAGGAGCACCCCTTGAAACAGCTCTATAAATCATTTTAACTTGCCACATGGTATGTGATGTAAGTGGTAATTTGTTCAGCCCATAGAGTCAGGCTACCCTAAAATAGACATTCAGCTCTGTTCCAGTGTGTGAGTTGCTTGCTGTGGTGGTTGCTTCTCTTGTTACTTGGCAGTCATGGTGTTACTCGTAGTAACAGTGTTACTCGGCAGTCACGGTGTTACTTGTAGTAATGGTGTTACTCGGCAGTCACCTTGTTACTTGGCAGTCACGGTGTTACCCATAGTAACAGTGTTACTCGGCAGTCACGGTGTTACTCTGCAGTCATGGTGTTACTCGTAGTAACAGTGTTACTCGGCAGTCACGGTGTTACTTGGCAGTCACAGTGTCACTCACAGTTACAGTCTTGCTCATCTCCTCTGCAGCACACAACACAGTGCAGGGGATGCCAGTGGCCGGTCTTTAATCACATTGCTTTTCTCTCAACAGGATGCTCCACACCACTGGGCATGGAAAGTGGAAAGATAGAAAACACGCAAATCACAGCTTCCTCTTTCAAAAAGTCCTGGTGGGGAGATTCCTGGAAACCCTTCCTTGCCCGTCTGAATGCCCAGGGCCGTGTGAATGCCTGGCAAGCCGAGGTGAATTATCCCCTGTGCACACAGTTCCTTCAGCTTCCAGGAGAAAACAAAGGAACATGGGGGGCCTGGGAAGCCAGACAAGCATCTCCTGTTTCTGCAGGTTATGATCCTGGGCCTGAGGATCTAGGATGTCTGTTGACTTGAGAGCTTTAGCTCTAACTCTGACTCACAGAGCAGTTATTTATCATCTTTACAGTTCTTTGTCTAACCTTAATTTAGACCAGGGTGGGCAAAAGGCCAGGTAATAAATATTTCAGGCTTTGTGAGCTGTACATTCCCTGCTAACACTACTCATCTGTTATTGCAGCAGGAAAGCAGCCATAACATTATCTAAATGAATGATCGTGGGGCTGTGTTCCAGTAAAACTTTATAAAAACAGGCAGTGGGCCAGATGTGGCCTTGGGCTATAGTTTGCAAATCCTCTTTGAGACAACTTACGTTAGCAACATCTTCTCTTCCTCCCCTCCCTGTCCCGCCACAGTTTAGCAGTATTTTTCATTTTAAGTGTGCCATTAAAATTTTTTTGTTTCCACTTTTTTGAGAACTTTGTGACATTCCTCTAGACAATTGGCAGCATAACAAAATGCTGCAAAACCAGGGTTTTAAAACAGTGATCTAAGTGGAAGAAGCAGCTTTCAGAGTTACATTGCCCCTGATATTAGCCCACTGAGTAATTCAGGTGACAGCTTTAGGTAACTCTTAATAACGGACTCACTTTTTATTGCACCTTTCAACTGACCTGGGAAGTCAGAATGACTTTGGAAATCAGAACAGTCCTATCAACCAATTTAATCCAAATTCCCTATTATCTATACTCCTAACTCCCTCCTGTAAGGTACCAAAGGGAATTCCTGGACTTGCTATAGATTGCGACACCCTCTCCTTAAATAAGGTCAGAAGTGGTGCTAGTGGAACAAACATAGGACCTGGGCCCCATACAGAGAGCTTTGGGAACCAATATCTACGCCTGGGCCTTCAGAGAATCACAGAATGTTAGAGCAGCAAGGCATTCTACAAAGCGTCTGGTCCGGATTTTTCCTTTTAAGTCTCAACACAAAGGAGATGAAATAATTTTAGTTTAGGCTGGTGGCAGAATTATAAATCCCGTTCTCCCTACAAACAGCTCAGTGCTCCTTCCACCAACCCAAACACCTCATTTGCAATTTTGCAGAGGGGGAAACTGAGACCCAGAAAGTTAAAATAACAAAAGTAATAATTTCACTTAGCCTATGAGCATGAAATGTCTTTATAGGGTCTCCTTGGGGAGGCTGGAAGTCTAAGTTAGACATAGACATCTATAGGCATGCATGCAGCTTGAAGGGTCTCTACCCCTTCTATGCCTACAAGAAAAAGTTATGCCTAGAAACGCCTCTAGCTGCCTACACTCTGTATCACTAGTTCCTCCTTGGTTTGAAGACACACTATACAGTACCACCAAATGCCACTAGAGGGTGTGACAAAATTAACAAAAATATCCAATACGATAAGTTTAAAAACACATAAGGCATATGACTATATACATACACATGTGTATACACATGTATACATACAGACATGCACATATGGGTGATATTGAGACAAATATATCAATATTCATTATTTCATACAGAACTGAATGAGACTATGGGGCATGAAAAATCTCCCAGAGATTCATCTCAGATTACTCTAAAACTCAATTAGTCCTCTGATCCTCTCTCTACAAGTGCATCTCACCAAACATGTAACTAGGCATTTTTTTGGCCAGAGTCAGGACAATTACGATGCTATATCAAGCCCTAAGTGTAGCTTTATCAGGTTTCTCAAATATTATATGTACTTGAAATATCTGAAAAGAAGAAGTCGGACTATTTCTCCTATTTGACATTAGCAATAGAAAGGAAAGTGGGGCTTTTCTAAAATAAATAGAGAGAGGATACTATCCAGTTCTTTCCCAGGTAACCCTTCAGTAATATCAGTAATATCATCATAGCATTTAAACAAACTTGCTTACCAGAATAACACATACAGATAATTTATCAACTTAATATTTTTCCCAAGTAAATTTCCTTTACGTGTTCATTCAACAAATATTTTATGTGTGCCATGCTTTGTGGTAAGTGTGTAGAAACAAAACTAATCAGTCCCTGTCCTCAAAGAAGAAGGGATACAGAGGTGGAACCAGATAATGACTGTGCAGTGTGTGAACTACTCTGGAAGCAGTTGATATACGTGCTGTAACAACAGACAAAAGGAATAGGGAAGGCTTTGGGGAGACGGGGAATCCTAAGGGATGAGACAGACAAGGAATCCTTGGAGCTCCGGCATTTCTGAGTAAGTTGGTCTAAAAAAGTGAAGGTTCTAACATCTGTCTTATCCATGTGTTCTCATTTTCACAGGCAAACAACAACAAACAGTGGTTACAAATTGATCTGCTCAAAATCAAGAAGATAACTGCAATTGTAACACAGGGTTGCAAGTCCCTCTCCTCTGAAATGTACGTGAAGAGCTACAGCATCCACTACAGTGACCAGGGAGTGGAATGGAAGCCTTACAGGCAGAAATCCTCCATGGTGGACAAGGTAAAGGGAAAGCAATTAGAAAGCTGTGCTGTGATGAGACTAGCACCTTGCATTGCAAGTAGCTCTTTGCATTAGACAAAATAGGTGCTGGCACTTACCACCTCTGAGTCCTCTAAATCCTAGCTCTGCAGGTTCACGGTCTCGGGACAGGGACCATGCAGGCTACCTTTCTGTTCTGACTGAGCCACCTGTGAAGTAGCGAGAATAAAACTCCAGGGGATGTGACTGAGAGGGATGGGCGTGGGCTGCTGTAACAAGTCACCATAGCCTGTCGCGGTGCCCGCATGGTCGGGTTCCGCTAAGAGCCCTCCTCCTGTTAGTCCTCAGATAGCCTTCCTTGTTGCGTGCGCGTGGAGGGAGAGCTCCCACGTCTCCTCCCCCTTTTATTATGTGTATTAATTCCATTTAAGTTCATCCTAATTACCTCCCAAAGGCCCCATCTTCTAATGCCATCCCACTTACTTGGTATAAAGTACCGAGGTTATGTATGAGTTTTTGGAGGACACAGGTGTGCAGCCCATAACAGGGGCCTAGAAAGCCTTCTGCTGTGAAATAGCATTTATTAGCATTGCCTTGGGAATACTTGTTATTCATGACTGATCCAACACCCATGGTTGTTTCTTCGGTCTCGTTCGGTTTATTTCTCACAGTACCAGGATGTCCTCGTAGCAGGGCAAGCATCGTTGTCATAAACAAACAGCAGTTTTGCTTCTGCTGTGTGTGAAGCTTCGTGAACTTGCTGGGGATGCAAAAAAAACAACCCTAAAAACAAAACAAAACCAAAAAAAACAGAGGGGAGGACACAGTTTAGCTAAAGATATAGGGTATATCCGAAAAGGAGAAATATAGACACATGGTTGCATTTTATTTTAAATATTAGTAATAGCTAACCATGTATCGGTGCCACTATCTGTCACTTACTAAGTACTTGTTATACGTTTAGAAACATTTGTTAATCCTTAAAACTTCTATAAGGTAAAATTTTATTATCCCCATTTTGCCAATGAGGAATAGAGAATTAGAAAACAGAAGTAACTTACTCAAAGTCACACAGCTACAAAGGGCCTGAGGGCAGAGATGGTTTCATAGCTGCCCCGGGACACCATATCAGAGGTTTTAGCTTTCCCTAACTCAACTCGTATCACTGGTGAGGGGAGATTCCTAATGAGTTCATAAGTGATTGAGGATCATCTCTGTGTTAATGTCGTCTGTGTTCCTGGATGCCTTTGGTTCGAACACAATTAATTTTAAAAATATCTGTTTATACCCATTATACCATCACTAAGGATTTTCTCATCTTTTGCTTTCAGATTTTTGAAGGAAATAGTAATATCAAAGGACACGTGAAGAACTTTTTCAACCCACCGATCATTTCCAGGTTTATCCGCATCATTCCGAAAACGTGGAATCAAAGTATTGCGCTTCGCATGGAACTCTACGGCTGCGATATTTACTAGAACTGAATATTCGAGGAGACAGAAAGGACTCAAAGACATCGAGCCAGTGAGACTGGGCAACGTATTTTATAGTATGTTAATTTCTCTACTAGAGAATAAAATTTTTTATGTGAAACTTTTATAATGTAACTCCATGCTTCCATTAAGTGAGATGATGCCTATTATTTCTGCATTAATTTAAATATAATTTTAATATATTAGTTTTAATGTCAAGAATCAACAAGAGATTGCTTATCTTTCACAATGATTAAATATGTTACATGAAGTAATACTCTGTGCATGTAGTTAAAATGCTTCACAATAGTTCTTTTAAACCCTGAACACATTAATAGAAAAGATATTATTTTTTAAAACCATATCTGGGCAGCTGTCACTCCTACATTTTTCTTTTAAAAAGACTACTATAAGAGTAGCAGTTTAAGAGGAAAGGAAAGATTTAAGAGTAAAGGAAACAAATGAGATTTTTTTAATGGTTGACTTTTCTTGACAATGGAGAGAGAAGCGATCTTATCATGTGAAGCAATGAGTGTCTTACCTACATGATGGTGGTTTTTCTGACCCTCCACAGAGAAAACACAAGTAAGATATATTTAGTAATCCTGCTGGCCTTGTGAATCTGATCTGCTCTGCCTCGGGACTGATGACACAATATTGATGTCCAGTATTAGGGGCCATTAGACATAGAAAACAGAACCTTGGCTTCATTCCAGCTGACACTATATGGCACAGTTTCAAAACATAGGCTCGCCTAAGAGAAAGCTAGTATCGGTCAAGCGAGCACTGGGACTATTGGCCCAAATGCAGTTAATTCCTGTCAGAACTGGCCCCTGGCCAATTTAATGTTCCATAGTCACTCTCCTGAAATTTTTAATAATTTTTTAAGAATGAGTCCGATATTTGCAATTTGCAATAGGCCCATACATTATGTAGTGAGCCCTGGGTCCCTCTACTGCAAAAATGGTCCGGATCTCTTAGGATCTACTGAGGTATAATAGAGGTAAGAAAACCACGCTGAGTCGTAGGTAGGGGGAGAGATGCGAATGGAGAGTGAGATCCAGCTTCACTGCCCAATAAGGCCACGGAGGTTCAACAACCTGCCTGAGGCTATTGCTTGTTCTCTGCAGAGCTGAAACCAGAAACAAGACAATCACTCCCAGCCTCTCCTACAGTCTGGTTTCTGTCCCATAAAATGGAAATGATAACGATTATGATTCATCCTCCCCAGACAGGTCGATATACATATTAACACAAACTATTAATTGATATGAAAATTACTTGTTTGGGGATCAAGAAAATGTTTGGGCTATATCTGGTTTGTGTAGAAATATTAAAACCCCTCTTGTTTTGAAATAAAAACATGTATTTTTATCCCTCTTTGAAGTCATTTAGATGAAATTACAACTTTTGCCGTATTCTCCACTGACACAACATGCTCACTGTTGTTATGTCATAACTGGTTGCTGTGGAAAAGCAATAATGACTCACAGTTCAATCATGACTCAGAGAAAGAAACAAGCAGGCACAACCTGAGCGGTATTAGTCATTCTGAATGAGAGTAGGAAAAGAGGGGCTATCTGGGCAGAACCCCAAGAACTGGATTACAATAGGGGTCAATGAGGACCAGAGAAGTAGAAGAGCTTTACACTTAGATTCAGGACCCTGTAGGCTTCCCCCGGCACACCCACCCATTCTCCCTACTCCCTCCCTACACAATCTGACACTGGCTTACCTGCCCACCTCTCTCCATCCCCCACCCCCTGCACCATGCCCATAAATCCATAAAAGGTCAAAGATAAAAACAACAGCTACCTGGGAGACCTTACAATCTGGGAGGGGGGTTGTGGGGGGGGCGGATAAGAGAAACATACAGATACAAAACATGTCCCTAATCTGCCAACTGCGGATGATAGATGGTGGTGACCAGATTAAAGCAGGTTACTCTTGGTAATGTCATGGATGCCACATTGGACAGGATTCTGACTCGCTCAGGTTGAGAAGACTGGGCATGCTGATCAGAGAGACCAGCAATGGAGTGGGGAGAAAGTGTGTCCTGTGTGGGAAAGTGACTAAATGAGAGATGAGACAATCACATGGGTATATCTGGATATGACAAGGTGTGAAAGTGCTGATGTCAGTGTTCTGTTTTGTTTTGTTTTCCACTAGCCCACATCTGGCCACCTCAAATTCTTCTGCACACTCATATTTTACATTCAGGAGCAGCTTCTCAATGTCTCGAGAATGATGTACAGATAATTTCATACACTCACCTGCTTTTTGGGGGCCAGAAATTTAGTTATGGGTTTACTGTTCTATTGATTTCAATGGCCTCCTACTGCTGTTCCTCCTTGTTGACTAGAGGCTTGTTGAAAGCATGGGACCTGGCAACCAGGCTTACAGATGTGACAGATAATGTAAAACTTTCATTTTCTAAGGAAATAGTGACAGAAGCTATATTTCTATGTACAGTGCTTAGACTAGTCCTTGGCATATAGTAAGTGCTAAATAGGTACTGATTATTATTAATATTAACATTAATAATAACAGCAATGATAGTATAAATAGGATATATTATAATATCAATATAATGGTATTAATCATTATGAACAATTGTTATTAAGTTATGCTGTGCTAAACACCTTGTTTTATACCACTCATTACTTTTTTTTAAATTGTGGTAAAATATACATAACAAAAATGGTTGAAATGTAAGTTTTATAAGTGTACAGTTGGGTAGTGTTAAGTTCATTCACACTGTTGTGAAATCATTACCTTTTATAGCTGCTCTATTTTCTACCTGTAACTCCATGCTTTTCCCAGTAGGTGGAGAGTCTGACTCAACTGTATACCTAGCCAGAGTTTGGAGGACTTGCACACTGAGGTCAAGCTTTAATTATCCAGGCTAAAGAAAGAATTAAACAGCTTGCAATGACTTTCTTCAGTGGATTCAAATGACCTAATTACATTTTTCTCCAGGGTAGAGACTAGAAATTTTTAAATAGCATATGTGAACATTAACATTACATCCTGAGTCCAGTCCCAGAACATGACTTAGACATTACTGTAAATTATCCACAGACAGAGTGGATAATTTAAAACAGTATTAAGTAGAAGTTTACTCAAAGAGAAAAATTAATAGATTGCCAATGGGCTTAAGGAGGCTTAAAACAGGAAGAGGTAGGTCAGTTGTGCCAGAGCCGACACGGGAAAGAATGGTGGGCGTGCGAGGCGGCAGTGCTGGGTGGACTCACGCGCAGGTTGTGAAGATATACTTTTCTGCAATGCACCAAAGAGGCTTTTAAAAACTACTGGTGGGGGTTTGGTACTTGTGAGGTTACCATAAAGAATCGCCTCTGCCCTCCTGGCAGCTAACACTCTAAGTCAAAGGCTCTCATCCTTCTTCAGGCGGCAAAGTGGTTGGAAAGCACCATGCTCTTAGTAAAAGATCACATCATAATTTTACATCTATACGAATGAATCAATCCATGTAGCTCATCTTACTTCCTCAGAAGATTTCGGTTGCTTAGAAGAAAACGTGAACTACGACTAGAAGCAGGAGAGAAAGCAGTGACAGAGGGAGGCACAGGAACAAGGAAGCAAGAAAGAGGGTGACCCCAGCGCGCTTGTCCTTAACCGGCGCCGTGCTGGGGTGGGCTTGGCCTTAGCAGGAAGCTGTCTTTAATAGCACATGCAAAAAGAAAAACCTTATTAGCTATACAATAGCGTCTCCCCAAAAAATGTTCAAAAGAAGTGCTTTGCTTGATACCGAAATTAAAAATAAATTCCCCCCAAAGGCCCACAGAAAGAGACCACCCTGCCAAGTGCAGAGCACCTGGAACAAGAGCAGATTTGAAAGGCGCTTGGTTTCCTGCGCGTCCCTGGGACCCTCCCCTAAGCTCAGCTCCGGAAAGACAAGGCTTCAAAGGCCAGTGCTGCGCTCTCCAAGTGTGCGGCGCGGCGCCTGTCCCACAGGCTTAAGACAGGGGTGAGTTTTACAGTCTCCAAGGGAAATAGTTTTTCTTCGGACAACAGCTCGTATCCTAAGTGTTTTCTCTGTGTCATCATTCTGACAGCCACTCGGTACCGGGGAGCTCAAGCTTGTATACTTCCCAAAGTACCAGAACTGAACTTGTGCAACAGTGTTACGCTCTCACACCAGGTGCTATTAAGAACCAATTGTAGTAGCAGCCAAATGCTTCAAAACAATTAACAGGAGAAAAAATATAAATGGAGAAAATTATTTCCACTCACCGGATTTCCTCCTGTGCTTTGGAACAGGACACCGTTCTGTTTTGGAAGAAGACAGTCAGCCAGCTCTCAGAACACCTACGTTAGACCCGCCAACGGTCAAACATTATATGCACAGCCATGACTTGATTCTTATTTATAATTTACTTCATTTAGTAAAGATTAATCATTTCAAATAATCATCTTTCCTGAAGACGAATATAACATGTTTGGCACCTTTCAATTTAGTTAAACAAATATTTATCTAATCATTTAGAGAAAAAGAAGTCTTCAGTGCTGTAAGAAGTGCCTGGCAGATGAAGAGCCCTTGAGGAACTAGCAGACTTACTTACAAATCCTTACTTATTAAGGCCTGGTTTGAGCAATTACATATTAATTTCTTCTTAATAGTTAGCTTCTTAATATTTTATGGTTTGCTGCCATGTTGACAGTCAGTACAATCGACTTAAACAAATAGTTTCTCCCAGAATTTGAAATCCTTTGGACTCTAGCCTGGATTTTGAAACATAAATAATGTTATGAGCTGAACAAGGTGTTTGCTTTAAGAAGGTGGCATTTATCAAGATGAAAGCTTTGCAAATAAAACCAGGTGTATATTTAACTGCCGCTCCCCGGTCTCCTCTCCATCGCACACCCTCTTCCCTAACACTTTACTTACTGTACTTTCTCAACACTCACAAGATGAGTTATTTTCTCTTTTTTTCATATTAAGAGGACTTCTTTTGAAGAATTGTACAAGACACACCTTAGCCCCCTCTTAAAGTGCTGGCCTACTTAAACCTAAAACCACGCTTTAAAAAACACCCTTTCTGATGACGTTCTGCAGTGTCTTTCAAGCTAGATTTGTATAAACGCAGGGGGGAGTTAAACTTGATCGCAGGCTTTTCCTCCAACGTGCACTTGGAGTGCAAGGCTTCCAGCTGGCTTCTTAAATTCTCATCCCAGCCCTCTTTTCTCTCCCCAACCTTCGGCCCGCCTCAGCCGTCGGCCTGCTGAAGACCTGCTGCAAACATCGGCAGCATGTCAGTCTCTCGGTCGTCTTTCCCACTTTCCGTCTTCCCTTCCCCAGGTTGAGCAGCCTTTTTGCCCTTTCCCCTTTGCCTCTCTGGTAAGCTGCATCAGTTAC